CCCGCCAAGCCCCGCCCCCCCGCCTAGCCCCGCCCCCCCGCCAAGCAGCGTCTCCTCCCCGAGCGGCGCGCAAGCTGCCGAGACGCCGCCCGGCTCTCCGCACCTCCCTCCGGCCCCAGCCTCGCCCCTCGCCGCCGCATCGAGCCTCGCCGCCGCCGGGGCGGCCGCGGGGACGGCGCCGGGCAGCCTCAAGACAAACTCCGCGCCAGCCTTGCCCCCCGCCTCCACAGCCTCCGCCTCCTCGCCACCCGCCTCCTTGCCACCCGCGCCGCCGCCCGCAGCGAGCGAGGCGCGTATGCCCGGCCAGCCCATCCCGCGGGGAGACAGCGACTGCACTTGCGCCAACTCGTCGGGCGGCGGCGGCGGCGGCGGCGGCGGCGGCGGCGCTGGCGGCGGCGGCGGGTCCGTCCGCTTTGGCGAGGAGGTTTGCTGCGCCTCGCAGGTCTGGAGTGCGCGCCGCATGACTGCAGGCACGTACTCGGCGAGGCGGGAGCAGTAGGCGGGCAGCCCCCCCTCGGGCGGAGCCTGACGCTCATCCGCTGCTGCGTGAATGATATACATGTATATAGCCCCGGGGGAGAGCAATGCCCTCCCTCTCGGCGGCAACGCGTCGGAGCTCACCTCGGCCGCATCTCGGCCGCATCTCGGTCGCATCTCGGCCGCATCTCGGCTGCATCTCGGCTGCATCTCGGCTGCATCTCGGCTGCATCTCGGCCGCATCTCGGCTATCTCCGCCTCGTCGGGCAGCAGCTCCGCTCTCTGCGCGCGGTCGGGCATCGCAAGAAGGAGAGCGAGAGCCTGCTGCCTAGCCGCCTCCTCCCCGGGGGGGGGCGCACGGAAGGTGACGCTGCCTCCCGCCTCGTCCCCTCCCCCCGCCGCAGCGCCACACCCTTGCTGCAGAGGCCGCTGCAGAGGCGGCTGCAGAGGCAGTGCGGCAAGCCGGTCGCGGCCGAGCGCGGTGGCGGCAGCAGCGGAGAGGACGACCTCGCCCGCCGAAGCCTGGGGGGGGCGTGGCGTGGACGTGTCGTGGGCGTGTCCCGACCGCCCCAGAGGCCGTTGTCCCCTCCCCGGCGCGGCGGATACACATGTGCAGTGCATGTGCATGCGTGCGCATACCTCGTCTGCAGCGCCGCCCATCGTCGAGACTACTTGACCCGAGACGAGGTACTCGAACCTGGGAGAAGGGCACGAGCCGCCGCTCAGTAAGCTGCTCAGTAAGCTGCACCCGCTTCGCCCGAGACGAGGCGCTCGAGCACCCGTCGGCGGAGGGAGGGGCGGCGCCGAGGGTGAAGGCGTCGACGAGGCCGGCGGAGAGGCCAGCGTGCAGGCGCAGAGGGAGGCCCTCCTGCTCCGCGCGGGCTCGACGCGTCGGGGCGAGGCGGGGCAAAACGCGCGCATCCACGGTCGGGCGGAAGGGCGGAAGAAAAAGGGCCCGGAAATAAGGGCGGGAGAAAAAAGGGCCGGAAAAAAAAAGGGCCAAAAGGGCCAAAAGGGGGCTTTCCCCCTCCTCTTACCAGAAAACCTTCGAGCTTCCAACAACCAACCTTACCCCCTTTGGGTTTGTTTGGCAGGCG